GAATTACTGATGACTTACATCATAGTGGCAATTTGCAGCTGAATTAAAAATCCAGGACAAAATGTGCAGCTTTTTCTGGAATTGTTAGCTTGTACATTTTAAACGGCAACAACAACTTATCATCAGCACAACCAGGCAACTGGGTAGCTACACTGTGACCTTGAAATGTCATTATTAAAGTGGTATAATCAGAACAACTACTGAACAGCTAGATGTTTCTTCCAGTTACTTTAATGGCATCTGACAGTCCAGCTGTGTGGTTACATATTTTTAGACTCAGAGTGAATGAAATGGGGACAGAAATCTGGTAACACAAACTATGCAGGCAATTCAGCAAGTGGCTTAATCAGACAAGCAGGCCTCCATCCCCAAATCAGAGTGCGGAGCGGCGTTTTACAAGAGGGCATTGAGAGCTTATAATTGCCCCAACATTACAATCAAACATCCAGGAACAATTCTCCTGTTCCTCAAACCACAGAAACAACATGTGAATGGTTGCGTTTAGCTTTTTTTTGTCACTCCACGCAGTAATAACTTCAGATCACACACTCCCCATGTCCACATTGGCTGGCAATGTTAAGAGAATATTCTGAAGCACAGATCATCAGACAATGTTCTTGTTGTGTTTTTACACCTCAAAGGTACTTTGAAGTGGAGTTTTTGCTCTACTACCACATAAAGTAATGAATAAGACAAAAGAATATGGTACCATTAGAATAAACATGAATTTATGATTAATTGCTTTCAGGTCTGGGGTGAAAACCACATTTTATTTTTGGTTAGAAATCCTGTAAATCCTGTGAAAAGAGCGACATATTCCAGGGAAGAATTAAATTGTCAGCAAGGCCCTGCAGCAGTAAACAAATAATCTTCATGTCTACGATTGTTCATGTCTTACAAATCTGAAAATGATTGTTATATAATGTGTTAATCCAGAGAGAAAAACATCTCCGCTTGTCAAAATGAGCTTGTGTTTTTTTTTTCCAGGAGGAAGAATGAAATCTCAAACATGCATCTTTTAAAGTTAGTGTCAGATGAAATGACACTTACAGGGAGAAAAAGTCAACACCTCAACGTTGCCAGTGAAGTAAAGGTGCAACAACCCAGCAAAGCCTCTCACTATATAGCCTGTCTTCTAAAAACCCAGTCATGCATTCAGTGGCACTAAACTCTATTTACATATTCAAAGATCAAAGCACCTCTTCCTCAGCTGTAGCCTATATAGTAAATTAACCATAACAGTTTTCAAATGTGGACATAAAAACATTCCATAGCATACTCGTAATTACTTCACAGTGTCTTTTTTTTTATTTATTTATTTGCAGAACTTTTCCTCACCACTTCCTAAATATCTGTTTTTGTGAACCGCTCTCCACATTTCAACATTTGGTTGGTTGTTCCAATAAACTAATGTGAGAAAAAACATGAACATTTCGCTCTCTTTTCTCTCTTTCACACAAAGATGTGCATGTATAACTGCGAGGTTGCTGTAAACTGAGAGCTCCCAGTGGGGAAAAGACTGGACGGGGGGGATTTTTATCTAATTGGTGAATTCCATAGACTATGACGTTAATGTACGAAGCCAAACATCGAGATAAATACTGTTTGTTATTATTTACAGCTGACTTTATTCTGTCATCTCTATCTCCGTCTTGCAAGCAGAGGTCTGTTTCACAAAACCTAGATAGCGGATTAAACCGGGATTTTCCAGTTATCCTGGCCGAGTTTAGCCGTGACTCGGTTTCATGAAAGCGGCGGCACAAAACTTACCATGGAGATTTATTCTGTGCAGCTAGTCGGCTCCAGACCAGGCTAAGAGCCACGCTTGATTAATCCTGGTGCTTCATCTGTTCAGTCAGCAGTCACTGCGACTGGAAACCAAAGTGTGTTTTTCACAGTTTTTAATGTGCTTATGTATGTATTTGCATTCATTTATTATACTGCATTAAAATACTGTTTTACAGTTAGGCTGTTATTATTTAAACAATAAATGATCACAGGTAGGACTACTGCTATTCAGTTAAGTAGCCTACTGTTATTATTCACATGATACTGTTACTTTTATATTGTCTTTATCAAGAATATATATATATATATATATATATATATGATAATTAGTCAGTTCAAATTAGCTTTTTTGGTGAAATTTTCCCAAACTACTTTGCTCTAAATTTACGTCATGAAGCAATGAAACCAATTTCCTGAGTAAAAGTACAACTGTTCATTTGTACCAAGGTCAAGTAGATAGTGGAATGGTTTAATTAAGAGCAGTGGTTAGTAGTCTAAAGGTTTCAGCCTTTTTATGCTGTGTTTTATTACAGCGACTGTTTCCTTTTTCACATAATATCCTTTGCATAAAGATTCTGTTATGTAAAGCACGTTTAATCCACTTCAAGATCAGTAAATCTGTGATCGACGGAGTGGTCTGTTAAAGAAAGCTGTCAATGCATTTATCCAAATAACTTCAACCTGGCTTCAACCTAGCTGCAGCTCCACAGCCGGGCTTAGTCTGAGTGAAACCCATTAAGCCAGGATGCTCTGACTAGACTAGATCAGGCCTCGCTTATTTAGTTATCCTTGTCTTTCACCACACATCTGTGAAGAACATCCAACACAACTAGTCCACACTTTTACAATCCACTTCTCCAGAGAAGATGATGTCGCTAATATTATTCTTGTGGTAATGTTTGATTCATGTGCGATTCTGTTTCAGATTTTTTATTTTTTTTTTAAACTTACACCACTGTTTTGCATTCCTCTGATCTTCTCCATTAGACCACATCACAACAGGGAGTCTGGTCTCAAGGCACTGTAATTATTGAGGATGTGACCGGAGCATCATCTTGAATAACAACTGTCTGGGTTTGTCAAACATGGATTTTTAGTTCAAGTGTGAGATAAAGGGGTCCATCTCGTAGATAAATTACGATGGTGTGATTGGACCGGATGGTTCATAATGTGGCAGCAGGATCAGAAATATACTTTGGCCATAAACCTCTCAGAGCCTCGTGAAAACCTGGGTGAACCCTGAAACTGCGCAATGCTGCTGGCAAGTGGTGACTTTAGTCATTGCAGACTAAGTTACATTTCCAGTGGACTCTACAGTGAGGATTTGTTTTAGAATATGTGTGTATATAAAGTGCCTGGGTCACAGAAATCACGATTAATCTCGTGCATTATTTTTTTAAAAATCACACAAAAGACCAACAACTTGCAAAATAGCCCCTTGGATTTCTCATAATGTCCAAATATTGCAGTGTTATTCTTCTTTTTGTCATAGTCCACATGAAAAATCGGCTACCGTTTGTCTTTTTCTGACTCCAGTACAAGAAATGGTTTTAGGGTGTTTGTTCTTGGGATTGAAGTAGAAGGAACAGAGACTGACGCCTTCGTTTACACGTCCACAAGCTCACCACCTGAGCAACACGCCTGAAGGCTCACATCTGTAGTTGTCATGTCGGCGCTCTGATACAGACATTAAACATACCTTTCATATAATGTACCTGTGTAACTCTGCCTGGAATAATAAATGGGATTTTTCAACAGAATCATAAGAATATTAGTTTACTTTATAATTACTTTACATGGATTCGTTTTATATGAGACCAACAAAAGAAGAAAACAAGTGAATTAATATGTATATATATGCGAGTTTGCGCACTGTTGGAATTGTGCTGGAATCAATCACATCTTTAAAGCCAAAAAAATGGAAATTGAAACATCAAGGGAACTTTAATCCTTCAGTTTATCAGTAAAACTCACATTCAGTCGCCAAATTTGGTTTTCGCTGGACCCGAACAGGATGAAAAACTACGTTAGCTTACGCTACCAGACACATGCATTAGAGTAAAAAGTACAATATTTGCCCCAAGTAGACAAATAAAGTTGCATAAAATGAAAATACTTCCTATATTTATTGTTAAGAGAACCTTATGCACGACTGACTTGTGTGCAATATTTCCACAAAAGATAAAAACAAACATTTTATGTGTTACCTTGGGGATACGGGAAGTTTTTTTTTTTTTTTTTTTTTAAACTGAAGCATCATGAAAGAGATGTAGATTTAAAAGAAGTTTCAAACAGCAGGTGTAACGTTATTTGGAAGAGACGTTTGAAGTGAGCAAACTTCAAAGTTTTTTTTTTTTTTTTTGGTAAAAAGCAAAATAAAACTCCCACATTTACTGTCATTATAATGAAAAGACATTCAGAGGAGTCTCAACCCTGAATGCTGGGGAGAACCTGCAGCTCGGGGAACAGCAGGAACGATGGACCGGGAATGCAGATTTTAGTCTCCATAAAAACAACCAAAAAAAAAAGGCAAAATAGTGGAAGCACATTATATTAGTTCTGCCTGCGGTGCCAAAATAGGGGGAGAAAGATGTACGTCGTCAACAGCATCAAAGAAAATGGAGAGATCAAACAGGATTACACAGAAATCCCAGACGCTGGCAGGCAGTAGAGGATCATTAGTGAGTTTATGGAGAAAGACAGTCGTTCTCAGCACTGAGGAGTTCACTAAGACCAGACTGAATTCTCTAAAAAAAAAAAAAAAAAGTCTATTGTTTTTTTTTTTTTTTAACATTTACATTAAAAAAAAACAACAACAACAACAATCACAAGCTGACAATTGGTGGATGCCAAGAATAACTGTTCACTGCATTTTATATTAATCCAATTCAGTTGGAAAAATAAGAAAAAAATAAACTACTGAGCATTTAAACAAAAAAAAAAACACAACAGCAAAATATATAGCCATTTATTTATTTTAATTCTATTTATTTGTTTGTTGCCCGGTCCAATGGGCTTGTTGACGTATCCCAGCAACAGCGGAAGCTTTATGTGTTGTATGGTTTAATGGTCTGTAGCTTCAGCCAACCAGATTCAACCAGATCCAGCCGCTCTTTTCCCCCCCAACGCGCCGCAGAGCGAGTATAAAACCCCAAAGCAAGATTGGGTATAGTTTCAGTGAGAATTAAATTAATCTCTTCATCTCGATTTCAAACACTTCAGGAAACATGGTGAGTACGGAGTAAAGGTTTTTCGTTTTTTTTTTTTTTTTTTTTTATTTAACCAAGCTAACAACCCACATCGATTAACACTAATTATTAATATCAGATAATATAATTATGTCTTATTAACTATTAAATAACTAACTGCTGAACTTTTACATTTCCAACTGCCGAACGTCCTCCAACTGAAAAACCTTGCTAACTGCTACACTGCTACATTTCCAACTGCCAGAACTTTAAGTCGTCTAACCGGCTCAGTTTTTAGATTACTAAACAGTTAAATTAATTAAAGTGCTTAACCCTTTTATTTTATTTTATTATTTTTAAAGCTTGCTAACATTATCTGACACACTTTTAGCTTTGTTACTGCTAAACCGTTAGCATGCTACCGTTAACTGAAAACTTTGTTTGGCTTTTCTAACTTTGACTCAAAAGGCCTGAAATCATCTGAAAAATGTGATGAAGTTTCATGTTTTCGAGCACTTGTTTAGTCGTTTCTTTTTATGAAGTGATAAATGTTATTAGACTGTAGGTTAAACAGCGATTGTACTCTGCTGGTCTGACTTTAATCCAGATTATTTCTAATAAAAATCAAAGAATCAAACACTTTATTTTAGTATATTGTACATTGTGTTGGCCCACAGCTCTGTTTGCTTTTGGGTTTGACTGCAACTATTTAAAATGATCTGTTTCTCCACAGATTAAATTAATTTTAATCCCTTTTTATTCCTGCGTTTTTAATATCCTCTGCGTGGATTATCAGCTGTGTAAATTTGCACCTACATTTTAAAAGGATAAATCCAACATTTGCTCAGTAAAGCATCTTAATTAAACATTTCTGCCAACATTTTATTGATTGATTATTCTGTTGGTCATTTTCTCGATGAGTTGTTTAGTCATTAAAAGTCATTTTCAGTTTACCAAAGCCCAAAATGATGTCCTCAAATTAGTTTTTTGTTTAAACAATCCAAAGATATTCAGTTTACTGTCATAGATGACATGAAAATGTTCACATTTGATGAGCTTAAATCAGAGAATTTGGATATTATTTCTTAAAGGACTCTAATGTGAAATCATTGATCATTGAGCTGCCACTTGATAAGTAATAGACAACTTGAACTAACTGAGTAATTGTTCCAGCTCTAGTAAATGTTTGCCTTTGTTTTCCTCCAGCGTGAATGTGTCTCAGTGCACGTCGGTCAGGCCGGTGTCCAGATTGGGAATGCCTGCTGGGAGCTTTACTGCCTGGAACATGGGATCCAGCCGGACGGACAGATGCCCAGCGACAAGACCATCGGAGGAGGAGACGATTCCTTCAACACCTTCTTCAGTGAGACTGGAGCCGGAAAGCACGTCCCCAGGGCTGTCTTTGTGGACCTGGAGCCCACTGTCATCGGTAAATTCTATAAATATCATAGTACTATGTGTGTTTGTGTTTTTGTTTTCCAGTTGTTCAAACCCTCCTATACATTTATGGTGATTTCCCTTTAGATGAGGTGCGCACTGGGACCTACCGTCAGCTCTTCCACCCTGAGCAGCTGATCACCGGCAAGGAGGATGCTGCCAACAACTACGCCCGCGGACACTACACCATCGGCAAAGAGATCATCGACCTGGTGCTGGACAGGATCCGCAAACTGGTGGGTCACTTTAGAGCGGCATTTCAGATTTTGCTCTATAATATCAAATTAAATGACGTTACTGTCTCTCATATGCAATCATTGTCTCCCTCTCTCTGTCCTCAGGCTGACCAGTGCACCGGCCTTCAGGGCTTCCTGGTCTTCCACAGCTTCGGAGGTGGCACCGGCTCTGGTTTCACCTCCCTGCTGATGGAGCGTCTGTCTGTCGACTACGGCAAGAAGTCCAAGCTGGAGTTCTCCGTCTACCCAGCTCCTCAGGTGTCCACCGCCGTGGTGGAGCCCTACAACTCCATCCTGACCACCCACACCACCCTGGAGCACTCTGACTGCGCCTTCATGGTGGACAACGAGGCCATCTACGACATCTGCCGCAGGAACCTGGACATCGAGCGTCCGTCTTACACCAACTTGAACAGGTTGATCAGTCAGATCGTGTCCTCCATCACTGCTTCCCTTCGCTTCGACGGCGCCCTCAATGTTGATCTGACGGAGTTCCAGACCAACTTGGTGCCATATCCCCGTATCCACTTCCCTCTGGCCACCTACGCCCCGGTCATCTCAGCTGAGAAGGCTTACCACGAGCAGCTGACGGTGTCTGAAATCACCAACGCCTGCTTCGAGCCGGCCAATCAGTTTGTGAAATGCGACCCTCGCCACGGCAAGTACATGGCTTGCTGCCTCTTGTATCGCGGCGATGTGGTGCCCAAAGATGTCAATTCTGCCATCGCCACCATCAAGACCAAGCGCACCATCCAGTTTGTGGACTGGTGCCCCACTGGGTTCAAGGTTGGCATCAACTACCAGCCGCCCACCGTAGTCCCTGGTGGAGATCTGGCCAAGGTCCAGAGGGCTTTGTGCATGCTGAGCAACACCACTGCCATCGCGGAGGCCTGGGCTCGACTCGACCACAAGTTCGATCTGATGTACGCCAAGAGGGCCTTTGTTCACTGGTACGTGGGCGAGGGGATGGAGGAGGGAGAGTTCTCTGAAGCCAGAGAGGATATGGCGGCTCTGGAGAAGGACTATGAGGAGGTTGGCGCTGACAGCGTAGGAGAGGAGGGTGAGGATGAAGGGGAGGAGTATTAAACAGGCACAGATTACCTTTAACTCAACTCTGCCTCCATAGTTAAAAATAAAGTTTGTTCATTGAAGTCACTTTTAATAGAGCAGTGCAGATTGTTGTGTGTCTGTAGTTTGACTGATGTTAAGAGCTGCTGTCTGGGGCAGTATCAACCTGGTTTGTGAAGTAGTTTTAGACGGTACTGTGTGTGTATGGATCATTTAACTCTGCTCACACTTGTTCCCCAGAAAAAATGTCTCTGTTTCATTCATTAAAAGTCAGCCCAACGAGAGAATGTATACGTGAGTCTTCTGTCCAAAGGTTTCACACTCGTCACTGTTCACCAGCCAATCTACAGTTCAGACTGTTACAACAGCACTGAATCTAAAGCTCATCAGATATGTGGCCCTGATGTGTGTCAGTGTGGACACGTCATTCCTAAAATAATAAAGTTAGATAAAAATGCCACATAAACCACATTTTATATCCAGTGTTTGTATTTTTAATTCAACTGCTGTTAAACTGTCAACTTCTGGGCTGAATCCATCGCACACGTGGGGATGTTTCATTATACAAAGTCAACAACTGCACACACACGCAGACCTTAAAATGAGGGAAGATTTTTTACTCTAGGCCGACATTTTTCATATTATATTCAATGCAGAACAATAACAGTACAGAGAAACTCATAAACTGTCACATGAACCCAAATAATGAGCAATAATTGCAGGAAGTTGGTGTAAAATGAGTGAGGAAGAGTTATTTTCTGTGAATATAGCGTCAGAGATGAGCTTTCCTGAACTTTTTTTTATACATTTCTACCTATAATTTACTTTACAAGCTGAGACTCTTGCCTGAGTTTGAATATAACTTGTGTTATTAAATGTGAATTTAATTTAGTTTTCTTCACAGAAATGAACAAAACGCTGATATATAGTTTGAGTGTGTATATCATTTATGTTTTCATAGCAAGGTTGGGAACCACTGCACTAACTAACAGTGCAATATTAAGTATTGTGTTGTATTTTCTGTATGTGGAGGAGAGTCTGTCGTTGGAGCTTCATCCAGTGGAGGGCAGCAACACCTCCGACGGGCTGCTAACTCTGCTGCAATTCACACAGGCGAAGAAGACATTGGCGCAACACAGCTGGCTTCATCATGCCTGCTGCTGTGATTATGGAGGAAAACTTTGATAAACTATTGGAGCAGTGTGAAGCACAAGAGCTCGAGGTAAGCGTCCGAGTCGTGACACTCGCGGTTGTTTATGAGTGGGCTCTGTCGGGGCGGGCTTTGTGTCTGTTTAAACGCGGTTAGCTGGTTAGCTGAGGAGGCTAACGTTGTGGCTCAGAAGCTATGGCTCGTTTTCAGTAGGTTTTACTTTAAATCCCTCAACGTTGGCTCGTAAAAGAGACACTGCTGGGTTAATAATAATGCCAACGAAAGCGGAGGTTGCAGAGAAAAGCTGCATCCATCCATCCATCCATGCTGTTCGATATGTAGTTATATAGATAGCCTGCCAGCTAACTCAGATGAGCCCTGGATGTGTCTGTTTCCGAGTAATCCTTCAAATATGCAACGGGGATTGTTTTAGGGATCAGCCAGAGTTTGGTTTACTGCTTGTTGTTTCAGCTTGAAGCTTTAATATTAAACCTGCGTTTGTGTTTTACAGGCTCCAGGGGGCATTGCAACTCCTCAAGTCTACGCTCAGTTGCTGTCGCTTTATTTACTTCATAATGACATGTGAGTCTTCAGGAGGTGACAGTTTCCTCTCTTTCTCTACAGGGAAGAGCAGCCTTCATGTTTTTTTTTTTGTTTTATGGATAAGGTACTTTGCAGACAGAAGTTGTTTGACAGTAAAAACTTTGGGTGTTGCAGGTGTAATATACAGTCATGCTGCATCTCTGGTAAATGTTAAACATCATAATTCAAATGCCTCCAAGTTGCTCACCCACAGTAACCGATGGATGACTTTATTTATTAATAAGGCGTTTGGTTTGGTAATGAATACGTGTAGTCTTACTCAACACCTAAAGTCTGTTCTCTGTTGCTGCAACTTTATTCTGTGTGTCGTCTAACCCGTTGATGTGGATCCAACAGGAATAATGCCAGGTATCTCTGGAAACGGGCTCCCCAAGCAATAAAATCGGTAAGATTGTTTAAACACACGCAGACACACACAGGGAAGTTCTACTGAAACCCATCTCAGTGTGGTGAATGTGATTGTCGTGCTGCGTCATATGATAGTCGCCACATTTGTTTACCTGAATCCAACTTGTAAATACCAAACACATCAACATGTAATGGTAAAAAAAAACATCTGATATACCTTACGTGACGTCTGACATCAACTTAATCAAGCTGAACACATTTTATTTGATACTTTAATACCCCTTCATAAACATATCTGAATTACAGAAGCGTATCTCAACCGTAGATACATGATAACTTGTTGTTAGTAACACGCAGTTGGTGTCTTGAGGTGTCTGAACTGATGTGTGTACAGGGAGAAATTGAACAATGATGAATAGTAATAATCACATCGTAACTTCTTGTCGGATGTTCAGCTGAGGCCTGAAGAAAATGGACCGGACAGTTAAAAGATGGAACCACTGTGGTTCAACATCCGGAGTATTTGGGTGTGACTGCTCTTTATAGCACCATGAAAATCACTGCCTTGTCATGTGTACCATGCTTAAGGTTTCTGAAATGCTTTGCCGCTTCTTGTACGCAGGCAAACCCTGAATTAACAGCTATTTGGGCGGTCGGCCAACGCATTTGGCAGCGGGACTTTCCAGGGATCTACACAGCCATCGCAGCTTACCAGTGGTCAGAGAATATCCTTCCGGTCATGGAGGCGCTTCGAGGTAACAGCCAAAGTCATGTCTAATCTGACATTACACCCTCGATTACTTCACATGTCATTAAGCGTTTTAGATTATGAAAACACTTCCAAATAATATTTCTATGTTTCACACATTTGGCTCGGGGGGCATTGAAGTGACTTAAATATTTACATTTTAGAATTACAATCAGCAGGGGGCACCAGCTGAACATGGTTTTAGTTATGATGCAACCCAGCAGCCCAGGGGAGATAACATGTTGGAAAATTAAATTACTGACTGTTTACAACACCTTTTCTTTTATAATTAAATGGTTACAATACTCAATATCAGTTAGCACACTCACATAGTTATGCTGATACCCTCCCCTAATGTAGCTGAATGTCAATTTACTGTTGTGTTTTGACTTCACACATCACCTTCTTACATCAGACGCATACATTTGAGAAACATCCTCATTTGACCTCATCGCCCTTGTGCTCACAAACGTTGGGGCATCTGCATCATGTGATGGTTTAAGAATAGCTTCTCCCTCATGTTTACCGTACTTTGTGTTGATCGGCCAGGGATGCTGATGTACGGTTATGTCGTAAGAGACACCATTGATCGTAATTTATTGGTGGATGGGCTGAATGTGGTAATTTCACAATGTCAACTCTAAATGCAAACAGTTTCTAATGAAGCAGTTTTAAAAAAAGGTCCATATAGACTGTTATTATTGTATTTACACTTTCTATTGGTTAAGACCATCTTAATGCCGTTGATTGTGCAAAAACAACATCACAAATGATTTGAACCCAAATGATGTCTTAGAATTTCTCGATTTGTCTGTCACAGTTGAACACCCCAACATACGTTTATAAAGAAACAAAGGAATACAAGCACAATGTCATATATGAAAGGCATTTATCAGCAAATGGTTGGATTTTTTTCTGAAAGAGACTTTATGTAATCAATAGTTTGATAAAGATGCAATTAATCCAAAAAAAGTGTGTATTAATATTAATATTAATATTAATGAGTGATTTAAGTTTGGGCATTAATGCCAAAAGTGTATGAAAGAAATTCTCAGCAGTACAGTTAGTGTGATTTCTGTTGTAAACAAAGCAGGTTGTATAAATAGCAAACTAGGTAAATAACAGATCCAAGGAGATGAAATCGTCCAAACAACACAGGAGTCACAGGATGTTGACATCGACTTGTTTACCAATTAGACTGAGCTCCCTCTCAGCTAGGGCATCTCTGAACCGGTCACATGGGCCCTGGTTGTCTCAGCTCAGTCCACCACTTGTGTCACTGTAAGAGGGTACACATTACCCACTGTGACATGTGACACATGCGGCACTTGGTAGGAGGGGGCCATTTCTGTGAAAAGATCCCAGGGCAGCAAGCAGGCAGGAATGTGTGCTCTGGTTGGTGGGGATCGGATGTCACCAGCTGTGAGGGGCTGGTATAAAGGACAGAGCTGCTAGCTCTCAGCCAGAATAGATATCAGCATTTCACAAGTAACAGCACACACACACGAAGGATAAGTTTGCAGAGTCTACCCTTTATTTTAGAGAGAGTGAAGCTTTTAGTTTTCTCTGGTGACAATTAGGAAGTTTCCTGGTGTAACTGTAGGAAGAGACTTTACCATTATGGACGTCCAGAGGACAGGATCTATGGTTCGGCCTCCGAGCCCAATGGATAGCCTTGAGAAGCAGCTGAGCTGTCCCATCTGCCTGGACATGTTCACCAAACCTGTGGTCATCCTGCCCTGCCAGCACAACTTGTGCCGTAGTTGTGCCAGTGACCTGTACGACTCGCGCAACCCATACCGCTTTTCTGGCGGCGTCTTTCGCTGTCCTACCTGCCGGTTTGAGGTTGTCCTTGACCGCCATGGCGTGCACGGGCTCCAGCGCAACCTGTTGGTAGAAAATATTATCGACCTCTATAAGCAGCAGCAAGAAGGTAGTGGCAGTGGAAGCACAGATACCACCCTGAAGCCTAAAGAATCCAAAGAACCGATGTGCCAAGAACACGAGGACGAGAAAATCAACATCTATTGCGTGACCTGCCAGGTACCCACCTGCTCCATGTGCAAAGTGTTCGGCCAGCATAAGGACTGTGAGGTGGCACCTTTAGCGAGTGTTTACCAGGCACAGAAGGGTGAACTGAGTAATGCCATCGATACCCTGGTGGCCAGCAACGGGCGCCTGCAGGCCCTGCTCAACCAGATGGAAGACGCCTGCCGCGCTGTGCAGGAGAATGCTCAGCGCGCAAAGCAAGGGCTAGCTGAACGCTTTGACCTGTTATATGCTGTCCTGGAAGAGCGCAAGACCCTTCTCCTGGAGCAGATTGGTAAAGAGCAAGATGAGAAGGTGGCGGCTCTGCGGGCACTGGTTCAACGCTACGGTGAGCGACTGCAGGCGAGTTCGGAGCTCACGGACACCGCTGTGAGGGCGCTGGAGCAGGGTGGCGCTGCTGAGTTTCTGTTAGCCTCCAAGGGCCTCATCACGCAGACCAAAGACGCAGCTAAATGCTCACTGGGGGAAGAGAGGCCAGAGCCGGGCTTCGAGAAGATGGACCACTTCACTTTGTCAACGGAGCATGTTGAAGCAGTCCTGGCAAAAATGGACTTTGGTGTGGTTGATGACGAAGAATTTGAGGATGCAGAAGAGGAGGAGGAGGAGGAGGAGGAGGAGGAGGAGGAGGAGGAGGAATAATGAAAATTGAAGTGGTAACGGACTTGTAGGAAATACTGTAATGTGTGCTTTTGAAAGTGTTTATGGCAGGGACTCTGCATTTGATGTTGAAAGAAATATAAGGTTACAGTGGATGTGGGCTAAAATGGCTTGCCCCTACTCTCAGTGCAATATTTAATTTCAGTGTCGTATTCGTACCTTTTCTTAACCTCTTTTTATACTTTTGTACTTCTAAGCCATTTGAGTGGAACCATGGGTCTCGATAAATGTAAATACAGAATGTCTGAAGGTTGATTACACATCATTTTCCTCATGTGTAGCTCATGGAAATGTTTATTCTCACTTTGTCTAAGTTTGTGTTGAATTGGTGACCAGCTGATCTGCCTGTAATCACCACATCTGTCTTTAATGGAACGTGGAATAAAGCTGCATGAAGTTGAGCATCGATTCGCTTTATTGCTAAACTAAAACAAGTTTAAGCCAAGGGAGCGTACAGAGGAAGAAAAGGGAAGACCCAGTATTATTTTGGCCGTATGGATTTTCTCTGGAGCGCTTCCATCAATATATTCAAGCGGTCTGATGCTGCTCTTACTTGGCAATCGGCTGTATGTAAAAATAAAAGCCCTTGCCATGTCCTGTCTGCTTTGCCTTTGCCGGTGAAAAGTGGGGGGCTATTTTTAAGAGGTGAGAGGGTGAGAAATGATAGCGGCCCTGGAATAGACTGTCACAGAAGGACAGGCCAGGTCCTGTTTCTCCTCCATAAAACTCCCGTCCTCCCACTCATGGACGTCTTACTCAGCAGCTCCGACTGCAGAGTGTCAACAGGGCAGACTAAGAAAGGCTGGTCCAGTTGCCACGCGAGTCATCTCTTAACGGTCAAGAGGCCAGTGGTAAAAATACATGTCTGCCTGGGGACTGGGTTACAAAAACCCCCTTGAGGTGACCTGCTTGACTGTGTTGGGAACATTTGCTCAGAGACCTTATTTCTTCTCTAACATGCAGCCAGTCAGGTGCAAGAAAGTTGTTCCAACACAAGAAGCCATTTTATGAAGTGTGATAAATGGTTCACATTTAACAGATGGGAGTTTTATTCTGACTGGAGAGGGGGAAAACCGCTCACTCTGTTTCCTCTGTAGTCATGGATCAATGGTGAGACACCACAATGACAAAACAATAGTATTTCATCCACATTTTTCCTCTAACCACGCCATTAAAATAATCTACTTTAATCATCAGTGTCTAAAAGAGAACTATATTATTTTACAACCATAACTTTGATTAAAACCATAACAAAATAAAAATTAAGTGCCTTCAAACACAACTGACACATAAACGCTGCTTTGACGCAGTTTTCTCAGCAGCTTTCTAGTCCTTCCACATCTTTTTAGACAAGTACAATAACAGGGAGAACAGGAAGCCCGTCGGACGGCAGACTGGGAAAGCGTTCTCGATAAATCTCCGGCCATCCCCTCACAGCTGTCTTCTCTCATCCCACTTGTTATTGTTACTGCTGCTAGCTGCTTCAACAGACCGGAGGCCGACTGTTGGTACACACGAACCGTTGCTAGGCTATAAAAACACCAAAGGCCACAACCCTGAGGCATTTACGTGATCGCTTCAGGAGCAGCGGCAAATACATGTTGTTCCGTGGCGCTGTGAGGCCCTGTCACGGTTATCTGCACAAACTACTGCACCGTGGGAGGGCAGGCTAGATAAACAGGGCAGCTTTGACGTTTTGGAAGCCTGAGCCAGTGCCTGCTGATAAAGACGTCAATGGATTGTAGTGTAAGGCCTAGGCAGCACATGACATCCGTGATTCATCATATGCATGCTTCATTTAACAAGATCTATTGTTAACCATCCTTGATTATGGAAAGTTCTTTCTTATTTTTGCTTAGAAGTTCATCACCATCAAATCAAAGGTTCTCCAGCAACAGAATGCATTATTTGATTTCAAACAAATCCAGATGCTAACTGCAATTAAAGGCAGACAAGCCAGACTTTTTGTGCAGAAGAGCTTAATTTGACTTGAACTCCCAAACCAACTCCTGCAAATTGTTTGTGACCGCGTGCTTGTTTGACCAGAGGAGGAGACGGAGTGATGAAAGGAAGCAACGTCATACTCAAACACACAGAATTACCATATCCAAACCTTTTTAAAAGAGGAATATAAAACAGACATTTTTAGTTCAGAATAGCTGCTTTTATTGAAATCCCAACTCCAACCCCTGTAAGCTGTTAGTGACCGCGTGCTTGTTTAGGAGAGGAAGCAGCGTCCTGCTCAAACACACAGAATTAACATATCCAAACCTCAAAAACAGGACATTTGCAAAAACATGAAATTTGAAATGCAGACCTCAAGCATTTACTTTATATTTTCCCAGAACACACACACACACACACACACACACACACACACACACACACACACACACACACACACACACACACACACACACACACACACACACACACACACACACACACACACACCTGTGACTGGTAATGATCACAGCAGAGTAGGCCTGCACCATAAACAATTATTGAAGAGTGCATGTTAGCTTTACAGTTCCTATATCAGCCTGGTTGTCTTTAAGCTCAGAACTGGATATGAATTAAATATTTTTAAATAAAACTTGTTTATAGAGCAGCAACTGTATTGTTTACAACAGAAAACTCACTATAAAAACTAAATATCTCACTGTGAACTAATCTAAAATGTGAATAAAAGAAATAATATTCCTGACAGTATCGGTGTAAAACAGGATGAAGGAAAGCGGACGGGAGCAGATCTCACTTCTCTACAGGTTAACATGCAGAGTACTTTTTTTTTTTTTTTCAAACAGCCCCTGGCTTAGAAAACCCCGCCTGTCACTCTTGATTAATCGTTACTCGCAGTGTACAGCCTCCAGTGCTGTTGCTCATTTGCAGCTTTGTTTACAAGAAACATAGCTTGTCATTACCATGTTTAAAATTAGGCTACATAACATGCTGTAAGGTCACAGTGAGTTGCTGTTGCCTATGTACTGTATGTACTTTAAATAGAACCAGAGCAGGGTATTAGGACGTATGCTCGCCACATGTCTGATATTAATGTGGTTCATGCATTCTTCACAGAGAGCACGCGGCAAAGGGCGTACAGTCTGGTGGCCCAGGCATACACTTCCATCCAAGCAGAAGACTTCGCTGCTTTTGTTGGATACTCTGTGGAAGAGGCAGTAAAAGGTGAATTTACACAACCTCCTCCAGGGAACGTTCTATCACTGCCGTTACTGCGTATGAAGACATCAATATGTTTTTAGTCATAAAAACAGCTGCATTGTTTCAGGGGTGTAATAAATATATTTTGCGTTTCGTAACCATTCATACATTCGCTGATGACTGTATTTTCGTCTCCTTTCCCATTGTTTTTTCGTCCGAAGGTGTGGTGAGCCAGGGCTGGCAGGCAGACCCCGCCACCAGGATGGTGATGCCCAAAAAGCCAGGTAGGTGGCAGTATTGCTCTTTTAATTTGTACCCGTCATCAGCCCGCCAAAACGGTTTTCTCTTCGCTGGTAATCCTGCACCCACCGCCCTGCTACTCTTCCTCCTAGGTTTTATTAGGCACACATAAAATATGTTGAGAGCAGGGATTTAGGATTCATTTTAATCTCAGTGAAAGATGGACGACATTTTCGTTTTCCTAGAATCTGTTGAGCTTTTTGATTTGCTAAATCTCCCTTGTCGAGTGTCCATATCTCCCAAACTTTCCCTCTCCATTCCCTTTTTCCTTCTTCTTATGCGCTCCCTTATTTTGCCTTTTTTTTTCTTATCACACGTCCTCAAGTCCAGAGAGTCGCGGATTGATCATTCTTGTAAGAGAAACCTGGTGATTTATTCATATAGTCAAAGGAGGGGGTTTGCGGTCCTTCCTCTCTGTAATCATTGGACATTACTGCTGAAGCATCTGCCGCACACATGCAACAGGCTTAACCCACTCACCATTAATCCTCACATGTCTCCTCTTTACCCTTCCACAGCGCCACTGGGACTTAAAAGTGCTTGGTAATTCTGGTTGTAGAGTGGATCTCGCACAGGAAATCACTCTGGTTTTGGGATAAGATGTAAAGTGTTTGTAATGATCTCCAGGCTGGATGTGTGTCACAGCCACATGGGGAGACTCAGACGCAGGTAGTGTTGTTAAACCGATGTCAACAGCGTGGTTAACTTGAAACCAGCGGCCTGCTGAGTCTCTGACTTGGAACACGTGGGCTGTAGCCGCCGAGCTAAAGCTGTGGAGATGCGAGAAGATCGATAGCACTTGGCACAATGAGGAATCCCCCTCTGACTCAACTTCTCCTCTCTCTCTCTCTCTCTCTCTCTCTCTCTCTCTCTCTCTCTCTCTCTCTCTCTCTCTCTCTCTCTCTCTCTCTCTCTCTCTCAACAGATCCTCCCCCTGTCTCATTGGTTCCAAATGAGCAGCAGTTGGCCAGACTCACTGACTACGTGGCTTTCCTCGAGAACTGATAACCCACCACAACCCCGCTGCCACCCTTTTTTCGCTCGCCTGGTACAGAGGGAGAGATCACAAGTTTTGGACAGACTCTTCCTCCTTCCTGCAAAGACCCACACCCAGATAGACGTACCAAAAACACACCAATCATCTTGCATGAAAGGCTGCAAGCTCTTCTCCAACACCTGCCTATTTATGTTCAACAACGAATATAGCTTCCCCTGTTAATTCCCACAGTGAACACCTTTCAGACACAATGTTGTATTATATATTTTTTTTGTTCTCTTGCTCTCTGCAACCCAGCTGATGTATAAATGTGGATCTAATTTTGAAGGAGGTATTACAGGATATATGTTTCCCATCACTGTCAGTATGTTTTTATCGCTAACCTAACAAACCCCTTCCCTCACAGTAGAGATACATGAACTAGTATGCACAGTACGTCCACTCAAAGGTTGTCTGGAAACAAATTTTTGTCAGGTAACAGAAGTCTTGGCATGCATGCATCAACGTGTGGATTTCAGACCTCATATTTTGCAGTTTATGTTTTGACTGGTGAATAAATATTTAGCTGTTTCTAATTTCAGTGTTGGTTTCTTTTATTCAAGAGTTTCAGGTTGTTCTTTCTCCACAGAGCAGGCTGGGGCTCGGGGCTTTCCGCTGTCATATTTGTCTCACATGAAAATACAATTTGCGTTTTTCTGGTGCCTGGCTTTTAACACTCACTCTCTCTCCACACACACACACACACACACACACACACACACACACACACACAGGGAAGAACATGATGTGTGTAGAAGCGTATTAATTACAGCCACATTAGACCACCAGGAAACATATTTGAGCAAATAATCAGAGTCAAAGCTGTTCTGGTTCGTCCATGTGTATAGCTGAATTGATTTGGGTAATTAAAAGAGTTGGAGTAACGCCAACCTTTAAGTCCTCAAACTTTCATGCCTGTAGCTCGACTAAACCCACCAGGTTCCACTACTGTAGCGTACAAAGCAAATCTACTGTCAGTGCAGAGAATTAAAGGTCCAGTGTGTATCATTAAGGAGGATCTATGGGCAGAAATTGAGTTTTCATTAGTGTATAATCTGCTGAAAATGAGAACTGTTGTGTTTTTGTGACCTTATAATGAGCTGTTTTTTATCTACACAGTAGCAGATCCTCTTCCACAGAGACTGCTGTGTTGAACTGTCTTTCTACAGTAGCCCAGAGCGGACAAACCAAACACTGGCTCTAGAATAGGCCCTTCAGAAAGGCTGAGCTGTATTCAAATGGTTGCAGTCTGTAACTTCACCACCAGATGCCACTGAATCCTACACAGTGGCCCTTTTTAAATATTCATGGTTCCCAGGGGTCCTTGAAATCCTTGAAAGTTTGTATATTTGATCGGTAAAATAATTAAGCCCTTGAAAGTTTTTGAAGCTAAACATGAATAGAAATAGGTAATTGGAAGTGCTTGAATTTACATATTTGGTACAAGAAAAGAAATGTAAGTTCTTTTGATATTTTACATGAATTATTATTATTATTATCAAGTAACCTTGATCCGCGTCTCAAACTGTGCTGTGTTTGGTCTTTGAATTTGAAAGAACTGCGCCTGTGAACCTTATTACTATTAAAATTAACGCTCTCTGCATCTGTAATTACCGTGACAACAACATCATGGAGAAGTGATGGATATTTTATTTTGTAAAGGCATAACTGACGCTCCAAAATAAAAGCCTAGTGGGGTTTTTATTTAATTTCTTTTAGTTCCGTCTGCATCCTATTATGAAGAATTTGAAACATACACTACATATTTACTTTGAAGTCATTTGATGTGCGCTGTATAGCCTGACATTAAAAGGAAGGGGCAGACATTTGATGTGATTTAGTGTGAAACCACGTTCATAGGATCCATTCCTTTACATGTCTGCGCAGGCGAGGAACTCATTTAATTTATGGCATGGTTTGCTTTGTTTTTCAAAGTGTTACATTAGAGACGACTGCAAACATGGAAATTGTCGTTTTTATATTTGCTTTGGTTGACTCTTGTTAAGTCTTTCAGTAACATTCAAGGCTACATTTCCCTTTGAGTGCATGTGTTTTGAATGCATGTTTTGCTGGTGCAGATTGCTCTCTCATATATATATATATATAGAAATGTTACATGTGTTTTTTGCATTTGCTGCGTAAACACGTGTGGACTCCGACCCCTGTCCAGGCATGTGTTGAACCAGCATTGGCCTCATGACAGCACAGCTTGCCAGAGACAGTCAGCACAAGTGTGAGGAGGTAAACTGACCCTGATCCCCCTGCTGTGCTCCTGCGGATCTCAAGTCTGCCACAACACGACTAAATGTGTACACAGACGCACATGCAGCCACAAATAGATCTGAACTGTACTGATACGGATAACCTCAACGTGTTTCTGGTGTTAAAAGTCAAGAGTTCAGTACATGTTATAACCTGTATTCCAGCTGGTTTAATGCAGCAGATACTGACACAGCTCTAATTATAGCTTTAAAAATACACGTAGATGTGATCGTCCCAACAAGGGGCCTCAGTTTTGCAGGAAGCTTTCCATGTACAGTACATATCACAAATGTGGCCGGTTAGCTCAGTTGGTATATCATGGACAACTCTATCTGACAACGTAGTCCAAGTCTGTGAAGCACAAGCCACCTTGGTTAACCTCTCTAAATTGGTCAATTTGTACATAAATGCAGTAAAATATAGAGGATTTAAAAATCAGTATTAATACATACACGGACAAAGAAACAAAAAGCTGCAATATAATACAGTATATTTAATTAGTCAATGCAAAATTAATGTTAATCATGAATTATATCAATTAATTTCAGGCTATTTCTTTATTTCTTCTAGTATGTATTGTTGTAGTGTTGGGCAGTAATACATTACTTAGTAACATGTTACAGCAATACAAATTACAAAGAGAGGTGTAAGGGATTACAATTTCAATATACATGAATAAATAATTATCCTCCATCCTCCAAGCGCTTTAGATTTCAGATGTTTGGCCAGTCCCTTGCATGCCAGCCCCCCATCGGTGTGTGTGTGCTTGCATGTGTGTGCATTGGTGAATTATGTAATAAATTGTAAAGTTTGTTTTGGATAAAAGCATTCCTTAGCTCTTTAAATGTGGTGAATGAAAAGTTATAATATTTACAGTTTTACACAGACCAGAAGTCCTATATAGCACAAAACTGAACATCCTTGAGTCAACAAACTTGACTTTGTATCCTGCGTGTGGACACTACATCAGTCTTTACAGTACAGCCTTGGTGCTCTTTAAAACCCTTTCAGATCATTAATACTGAGTAACTTGATGCTTGCGGATAACCAAAACAGTTTTACAGGTTCATAGGATACATAAAATATGTCAAGGCTCTGTTGTGAACCAGCTGGGAGAACACTTTGAAGTGAGGACACAAGGTCATACTGTATTTTCTTGAATAGGCTCTAAGCATTTTTACTGCAGCAAGTTTAATAGTCACATGTTGCTTCAATGAAGAAGGCCGGTGAGATTTTGGACTCTGAGACTGATCTTTTCTGTTTGTTCCATGGTTGCATGACCCATAACTTCAGCCTGAAAGTGAAGTGTCCCACAGAGGCAAACAGCAGTAACTACTAGCTGTAGTAAAGGTTAAAGGTTGTGACCTCATGTCAAGTTAAACTCTAATAATGATATATGTATATGTGTAAAAACAATACTATTTATATATATAAAACAATACAATACTTCATTTTCACTAGTCACTGCTGTTTGTAGTTTGCACCATGAAATATCAACTACTACCATGTGCTGTTCTGTAATGAACTACAGCCGTTGTAACAAAAATAATCTTGTTGTCAGCGCATAAAAAAAGTCTTCCATTTGCCGATTCCTCACCGCTGCACACAAGGGGCCAGCACATTTTAAAAGTATTTAACATTCACATGTTTCCACTCCAACCTGCCGCCTTTGAAGTGGCTGAGATCACCGTTTTGTGTTATTTGTACCTTCCTCCTATTGGTGTTTGCAGTGAGCCTTCAGACAGATAGCAGCTTTTTTTTTTTTTTTTTTTACTAAGAAGAACACAAAAGAAACAGAACAGCAGACGGAAAAAGTTGCACATTCGTTTTCATTCTTTTCTTTCTGTTTTCTTTTGTTTTAAAGTGTGGTATGTTTGACTGCAAAAGGGAACTCTCATGGGATCTTAACCGAGGCAATGGCCTGGCGTCCTTTACACAGATGCTCACAAAGAGCTGGGGGCTCTCTCTCTCTCATGAGGTCATTTTTTCCTGGGGTCAAAGGTGACTTCTGCCTCGCATCATAGCACATGCCACTGACATGATGTTACAGAGGACTGCGAGGGTGGTATACAAACACAGCTCTGCTAAAACAGGGGTTTTCAAAGTCTGACACTCTGGGCTCTGCCTCGGAAAATAATTAAGACAACTGCGTGCTGTTGTTTTTGCTGTTTAGAGAAAGTAAAGTGTTGCCCTGGAGTCTGTTAGTTAGCTGTGGGCTACATATTGAGCCCCATTTTTTTTACTCTTTATTGTTTGAAATGTTTGTATTAGCAGTCTGTCTGTAATGTACTCATGGATGTACACACACATTATTAGCCTACAAAACTAATGTCATTCCCAGCAGCCTCAGCTATAATGTTGTCATGCGTATGAATGTGTAGTCTTACAGAGCCACTATAGCCGTGCTGTAGACTTTAAAGGACCCATGTGTAGGATTTAGTGGCATCTAGTGGTTGCAGATTGTAACTTCCTCACTTCACCCTCCCCTTCCAAAGGAGGAACTGCAGTGCTACTGTAGAAACATGGCGGTTCAACGCGGCGACCTGCCGCATCTGTAAATAAAAACGTCTCATTCTAAGATAACAAAAACACAACAATTCTTATTTTCAGGTGATTATGCACAAATGAAAACACACCTATGAATATTATATGCAAACAGATCCTCATAAAAGTTACACACAGGACCTTTAAGTCTTGTTTTAGTGTGTCGAATCAGCTATTAGCCATTCCTGTTTGTAATGACAATAATAACTACCCATTAGCACCTGTCCGTTTCATCTCCCTCCCACATCTGGAAATCCTCTATCCTCTTAATAAGCTCCAAATGTAGTCTCTTTTAATATTTATCATTTGTTTGCTAAACACTTTTGTGGGTTTTAGTAACACAGTTCACATGTGCTATCTATAATCTATTTATTCTGGAACCTAAATGGAGTTGTGTGGTTTGAGTCTGGAAATGCTCTTACATATTTTGATAACATAACTCCGCAGTTCTGGCTGTTCTAAATCAGGTGGACATAGCTGGAGAGGTTTAAACCCAGCTGGGAGTGCCTTCGATCAAGTGGGGGGCGGAGAGGTTACGTAAGAGAGAAGACGAACCAGCAGGGGGCAGTGTTCACTCACAGTTGGTGTGTGATCTCAGAGCGAGCCGGTCATGCTGCTCTCTATTACCAGATACCAAGATGCAAAATAGATAGTTTATAAAACCTCCATCAAAAGTAGCAATATTTAGATAAGAGAAAAAGCAGATTTCCTTTTTTACTCCCCCTTTTTT